ACCATTATAGAGGACCATTATAGAGGACCATTATAGAGGACCATTATAGAGGACCATTATAGAGGACCATTTTAGAGGACCATTATTGAGGACCATTTTAGAGGACCATTTTAGAGGACCATTATAGAGGACCATTATAGAGGACCATTTTAGAGGACTATAATAGAGGACCATTATAGAGGACCATTATAGAGGACCATTTTGGAGGACCTTTATAGAGGACCATTTTAGAGGACCATTATAGAGGACCATTATCGAGGACCATTATCGAGGACCATTATAGAGGACCTTTATAGAGGACTATTATAGAGCACCATTATAGAGGACCATTATAGAGCACCATTATAGGGGTCCATTTTAGAGGACCATTGTAGAAGACCATTATAGAGGACCATTATAGAGGACCATTCTAGAGGACCCTTATAGAGGACCATTATAGAGGACCCTTATAGAGGACCATTATAGAGGACCATTAAAGAGGACCATTATAGTAGACCATTATAGAGAACCATTATAGAGGACCATTAAAGAGGACCATTATAGAGGACCATTGTAGAGGACCATTATTGAGAACCATTATTGAGGACCATTATAAAGGGCCATTATAGAGGACCATTATAGAGGATCATTATAGAGGACCACTATAGAGGACCATTATAGAGGACCATTATAAAGGACCATTATAGAGGACCATTATATGTTAAAAACGAACGTCTACTATATATGGTTATCCAGTATCCAGTAGCCAGTATCTATTGCGTTATTCAACTAGTGGGTAACGAACGAACGAATTTTTTTTTAATATTTATGATTTTGTCATTCTGTTCTTTGGTTGATTTATTTGTACTATTTCAGATATTCTGGGTGGATGTACTGGTACTATTTGGGTTCTTCATCCTACTCAGATTTACAGGGTACTTTGTACTCAAGTTCAAACTACATATGGACAGCAGATAGATAGAAAGATACTCCCAGAGCCCGAAATTTAAAAGAGTATCGTTGAACGAAACTCCCGAGTGTCCTTTTTTGGGGTCTTAATATTTGTGTTGAATTTTATTTAAGAGATTCGAAAAAATGGAGAAAATGAATAAACTAAATAAAATAATATTTCAAAACAGAAATATTGATATTCACAAAACTACCTTACCCCATTCGTGAAACCCGGGTTTCAAAACTGGTTTTCACAATGATACCCTGTCTTAAGTTTTGGGCTCTGGAAAATATGTACTCAATAACCTCCTTGGAAAATATGTACTCAATAACAGCATTTGTATAGTGAAAGTATTAAACATATCACTTCAGTGACATCGTTGAAAGGTCGTCATAGAAAAAGCGAAAGTTCCATTAGATTTTACTTAATTTGGACTATCTCCTTCTGTTGTCATGAAAGTGATACGTTTACTGACTCTCTCTGTATTAAATATACGAAATCTCAAAAAACGATATGAAATTTCGCTTTAAAAATTCGAGAGCGTTTTTCAAACCAACCATTTTGTTTGATTTACAGTATTATCTAATGAATTATCTATGAAGAAACCTACGATCTGCTAAACATTTATTCTAGTATTCGATGTCTTTCCAACTTAATAGAAATATATAAAGGGACTGTGGGAGAAATTTTATTTAGCCATCAGCTCAAAAAAGTTGTCCGATTAACCTTTTTGAACTTTTGAATCTGCAGGGTATGACTCATGTATATAAAATGGGTTACTTGTACTTGTACTTGTACTTGTACTTGTTCTTGTACTTGTACTTGTACTTGTACTTGTACTTGTACTTGTACTTGTACTTGTACTTGTTTTGTTAATAATGTATGTTTATTATGTCTTGTTTTTGTTGCTACAATCTACATTTGTAAATTGTTAATAATTGTCATGTCTACTTATCGGAAGAAAATCCAAACAACAAGTCTATAAAAATGTTGTTTGAACAGTTGAAGCCAAGGAGTATGAAATAGACGCAGCCCGCCCATACCATATGATTATACATGCTTTGCAGACGGGTACTCCATTTGTATAAGAAATATTCAGAATAGGTTACTGTATACGCGGTAATTGTACATTAGACAAATATTTCTTCTACAAATGGAGTACCGTCTGAAAAGCATTGTTTAGTCATATCGTAGGGCGGGCCGCGTCAGTTATATCTCCCTTCTATTTCATACACCTTAGTTGAAGCCAATCTGAAAATCAGTAAAGTTAAAAGACGCCCCACTTTCACAAAATTGTTACCGCTCTCAAATATTGAAATTATCGCCTTAAAACTGTTTGAATAGAATCAGAGACCCATCCTTTTAAAGGTTATAATTGGTTGGTTCAAAAGAAGATGAACCTAAAAACTTTTTCAAAATACTCTAGAATAATTCTCGGTCGGTAATGCAATTCTTGTTTAGCACGTGGCAAAGATTTGTTTTTATATTTTATAAACAGTTTTTTGTTTCTCACTGGAGAAATGCCTGGTATCTTGGTTATTGTTAAAATTTACAACTAGGTGTACAAAAAAAAATGTTTTATTAGTTGAATTTTTTTACTTACACCCCTTTTTGTTGCCATTTACACATAGATAGATTTGCATTTACAATTTACTATAATAGGGACTTCGGCGTAATTTCAAGGGTAAACTCGAGTTTTTCGGCAGTCAATTTTCAAATAAATGATTAAGAATATCTAAGTCACCGTTGATCAAACAGAGGATTAAAGGGATTAGACATGCCATTCCATAAATGGAGGATCACTTGAAATAACGCCTACAGTCCCTTTAAAGTCTTAAGTTTAGTCCTAACTGTGATAATGAATACTTGATTTGTTTACATTAAACAGGTTTAATTTAAACCTTTTAGAAAATTTGAATCCTCATGTATAGATTGTATAATTTGTTGGAGTGACTAAGTATATGTATCTGGTTAGTATATGTTTGTTACCCTTTAGATTTAGTCAATAAATTTAGAAAAAATGTTTTTTTTTTCTATAAGATAGATTGATGGTTAAAAATATTTCGAACTGTTAATTTTACTTTACTAAATAGTCCAGGTTTGATATCTTAAACGTTTACAGGTTGCTAAAATATAATTTTTTGGAAAATTTTAGTTTGTGGCCAAGACTCAAATCCTTAAACTAAAATATGCTGCTAGACTTTTGCCGAATATTACATTACAGCTTTGAAATCTTAATATCAAATGCTACAATTAATTTTTTATGAGACTATTGTGACCCCATTCATGGTGAATTTTATTATGAACCTGTTATAAAGTTATTAAGCTATAAAGTTAAACTAGATGTACATTATAGCACGTATGCTATAAAGTAATCATCGTGCTATAATGTTTAATTAGCTGTACATCATAGCCCGTAAGCTGTAAAGTTTTGATTGGTTCCCGGATTTTCTCCCAAAAATTTAGGATATTTCTAATATAATTTGTTAAATATAAATGAAAATAAAATTGATTACTTTATATTTTTTTTTTCTGCTTTCTTGAAAAGGTTATTTTATCTAAAAATAGCCATTGCAATAAATAGTTGATATACCACTATTATTTTCTCTTTTTCGGAGTTCTTCACTTTCTAGATTATAATATTTAGATTTTAAGAAATATAATCAAAAATGCGAGAATCTTTCACATACAGAGAAAATTTAAGTCCAAAAACTTTATAGCACGTTATGCCAAAATAAAAGTATTTATAGGTAATTTTATGATACGTTTGTGTTCTTGTTTCATCGCAATGGCTAATTCTAGATAAAATAAGCTTTTTAACAAAGCAGAAATAAAAATATAAAGTTAATTTAGATTTTAATGTCATTTAAATATATTTTTTTTTTGAAATATCCGACATTTTTTGGAGAAAATCCGGGAACCAATCAATTCTTTATAGCACGGTGATGCTTAAATGTACAGCTACTTTAACATTATAGCATGATGATTACTTTATAGCACGGTGCTATAATGTAAAGCTAATTTAACTTTATAGCACTATGATAACTTTATAGCACGTTCATCATACAATTTACGCAATAGTTTCTTAAAAAGTATTATAATGGGTTGAAAAGTCCTGAATAGTAAAAATTCAAAATCAACATTTATTACTTTTAATTTTTAACATGTGTAAATATTATATTTTTGGATACATAATAAAGGAGTATATGAGAATACATAAAAGAAAAATTAAAAATATACAAAAATACGTTGCAAAGTGCAATAAGTCAATTTTTTTTTGGAAATTCAGATAGTCCGTCAAAATACTTTATTTTCTGAGAAAATTCAATTAATTTTATAAAAAAAAATTTATTGTTTGATGTAAAACTTTGAATAAAATGGATTTGCGCGATAGTAAATTAATAATTTTTGACAAAATTGAATTAATTTGATTAAAGCGGAGGAGCCTGATTAAATTATAGATTGGTAGATTAAAGACTAGATTTGGCTTGGTAAATATTTAATATTGATTCATTGCTGCAGATATTACTGCTAGAAGCATTTTTGCTAGAAACGCAATTAAAATAAAAGTAAATTGCACCAAGGCGACACAAATGATGTTCTATGGATCCATATCTGGAGGGATTGATGGATTATATATTTGTGTGAGTGAGCTTAACATGTTCTTTTACACTATTTGGTCCCTCCAGCAGATTAAAGATGGCGTCTGGACATTGGTTACACGTGTACTTGCGCACACCGCTCTGCGCATCTAGTGGCGAAACCAGTTCTCCCCAGCTTTCACATCTCATCTCATCCATGTCATTTTCCCAACCATCACTCCTTAAATTTCCCCATTCATCCTTTCCATTTTCCCTCCAGCCCTCGTTCCTTCCAAACCTACTCCAATTTTCCTCCATAGCAACCTCTCGTTGTAACCTCCAGCCTTGCAAGGACGGGAGTTCGTACTTCTCCGTCAAATCTTGATCTTGTGAATCTATGGACTGCTGGCTAGAACTTGTCTCAACTAGATTGAACTGGACTGAGCTTGACTCTACGGGATTAACTGCTGGTTTAAGCTTTAAGTCCTTGAATGAATCTACGCGTGGATTAAACTTTCCGTTTAGTTTAAGTCCAAAGTTTTCCGATTGTAAAGATGAGTGTGACGAGTGGTGCTGCTCCTCCAGTTTGCTGCTCCTACTATCTGAAGCAACGAGCAGCTCCTGTTTTCAATGATGTATGCAAGTCAATTCCTAAAAAGCATTTTCTAAGCAAAAATTCAGAAAAAGAAGGATTTAAAAAATTTAATCTATAAAGACACTAAAAAACCTTAATTTGTTGAATAGTCACAATTAAGCATTTTAAATAAACTTAAAATTACCTCTTAACGAAGACGACGTATGTTTAGATCTTCGTCGTCTTCCAAGAGAAGGATTTTTTCTTTTCCTTTTTTGAACCTTGTCCTTGTTCATTACCACAGGTCGGTCAATCTTAACACATTCATTCAATAGTTAATATGCATTATTCATTTATTTATTTTCAATATTGATCTATTAATTTTCAATATTGATTTATTCATTTTCAATATTGATTTATTCAAATTCATTATTCATTCATCCATATTCACTATTTATTTATTCATATTTATTATTCGTTTATTCATATTCATTATTTATTTATTCATTTCATTATTCATTTATTCATTTCATTATTCATTTATTCTTATTCATTATTAATTTATTCATTTCATTATTCATTTATTCAAATTCGTTATTCATTTATCCATATTCACAATTCATTTATTCATATTCATTTTTCATTTATTCATTAAATTATTCATTTATTTATATTCGTTATTAATTTATTCATTTCATTATTCATTTATCCATATTCACTATTAATTTATCCATATTCACTATTTATTTAATCATATTCTTTTTTCATTTATGCATATTCATTATTTTATTAATTTATATTTATAAAAAATCATTGTTTATAAATTTATATTAATTATTTATTCATATTTCATTCATTTATGTTCATTGATATTCATTATTCATTCATTAATATTCATTATTCATTCATTAAACAACAACTTTCTTCCATTAATATTTATTATTCAATATTCAAATATTTTTTAACTATCTTTTTAAATGAATATCCCTAGCACCATTAATTCTTAAGTTAAAGGAAGAAGACGACGTTTATTTCCCAGTTTTCTGGTTAATGATAAAAACCTACCTTATGTAATTTCTTGTATAATCCACAAGCATTGCAGACATAGGTCCCATGATCCCCTCGCCTCCAAAGCGTTGTTTCGGAGGTATTGCAGTTGGAGCAACGTTGGTTGGGATCAATTCGTAGATTTTTCTAAATTAAAGGAAATTAAATTTTTTGTTTGTTTTCGTTTCATTTCGTTGGGACTCTTTTGTAAATTGTATAGTAGGACCGATAAAACTGTGGAATAGGAAGACAACATCTAACCAATCTA